TGCCATCATTCCTGTTTAAGAAAGATGATGCATCTCTGACCACTGGTAAAGGCTGTAACTGTGATGTAGGAATGTGCCTTAGATCAGTACTTTGCTGTAAGGTGAACAGAAAAGCGAAAAAGACCCGTAGAAAACCCAGTTTCATTTGTTTGATCATAACATAAAGATAAGCCTCTTAAGCTAGCAAATTCCTATATTTTGTTTAATACTATAGCCTGTTCAATTCTTCAAAGAGCAATATTAAACAAATAGTAATAACTAACATATCCAATGCCAGAAAAAAACTAAGGATTTATCTCCTTTTCTATAACATCATGAACTAATTTGAAACAGTTAATTATCTTTGAAGTCTATTGTTTAAACTCTAACTCTGGGTGTGTAATTAATGATTACATGATAGCAAATAAGTAATACAGCATTAATTTTTTTTATATTATTATATAAAGGAGAAAGATTTTAATCTGTACAAAAGGAAGTTCAGGAAAGGAAAAATTGCTTTTTTGTAGTGGACTCCATTCAATCCACAAGAAATTAGGAATAGCCTTAGTAAGAAAGGCAGTAAAAGCCAAGAAATATTTCTCTACTGAATTTAAAACTGGCCTATAGAAACCAGAGCTGCAGGTGTTCGTGGAAATAAGTGGTGTTGCAGGAATTTTAAAACTCTGTAACTTTATGAGCAGTAATCCAAGCCAAGGCAATGATACCAAGTAACCCAATCTACTGCCTCAGGACATGAGCAGGGGTCAGCAGGGCACTCCTTTTAATGCCCCAACATTACCTGCATCTCAAAAGAAAAGTTTTGTTTGTGTTTTTTTCTGAGTAGAATTCACATTCATAGCAACTTCAGATGGTTGTTGATACTGGGCAAGGAGTGCACTTTCGTATTTAATATAAAACATTCCTGCAGAAATTTCATCATGCCTCAAAAGGAAAGCCAAAGGTAGGAATGTATTCGAGGGGATGCCTTGATGACCTGACTGCCAGCAAAGCCCCTCTGCACAGCTCAGAGAGGCTGTGTGTGACTCCTGGCTGTGCTGTTATTGCTCCTGGTTTACAGTCAGGAAAACAGAAGGTGAAGGGAGGTACCCAAGGCTACACAGATAATGTCTTTGTAAGAATGAGATAAGTGTAATAATATATTACCATAGTTAAATATAAGTCTAACAAAATTGCCATCACACAGCACAGGTGGGCAAAACACTTCAAAATTTTATTATAAAAACACTTAAGATTTTTAAAATCAAATTGATATAAATTCTATAGGAATTTACACCACTCAGGTAGGTACCTAGATAGGACCTCTTAAGGAAGGTAGATTTCTGAACTAGTATGGAATTTAGTATGGTTTTCCAAGTAGCTTCCTGAATTGACAATAAGGCAGAATTAGTAACAGAGAAAGTTACATTAAAATAATACATTAAAGTTTAAAAATTAACATTTCCTCAGGGTACAGTTGGAATGACTGAAGTATATATAAAAGCTATAAATAGTTGCCTTTATAGACAAAGTTGTTTACAACTTAATTAAAGTAAAAGTTTTATATTTTGGTTGAAAAAGCCTCTAAAGATGTTTTAAGCAAAATCAAGGAATATGTAGTCACAAAGCAATCTGAAACAGCAATTTTAATCTGGAAAAATGATTTTGCAGAAGCTAAAAAAATAACAGTTTCCAGAGTGAACCCCTACCTTTTAGATATTTGATTTCAACAAGTCTCACAGGTCAGACTGAAAGGTTATATCTTATACTTATATGGAAGATCCTACACTAATAGTTGGCTTGTGTTCATCACAAGTAATCACTTCTTTTAGAAATGAGCCCAGAGGCTACTGTAAGATATCTTAGAAGCATGAAAACATATTTTTAGAATTATTAATATATTTAAGACCCCTGATGTATTTTCTGGTATGCTGTGTCATGATTTGTGATTTTAACATCACACCTCTAAAATTACGTTTCAAAATGAATGTGTATTTTCCATGCAGATATAATGAGCAGGGTAGCGCAGGACAGAATTGTTGTATATTATTTTCATTTTGGGCAAACTATACTTCAGAGAAGCCAAATAGGGTGAAGGCTACATCTATACATTAATTCAAAATGGATTTCCTTCTCAGTCTACAACATATTTATCACAGGTACTGCCTTAGTTTCAGGTTTTTATCATGGACAGCTTTCTTCAGGAATTTAAACATTGTCTCCAACTCGGGCTGCCCATCATGCATCACTGTATTTGGAAAGCACAATCCCCTGGGAGTGCAGTTGTGCTGAAGTGTTTGTGTGCCCCCAGCTCTCCATTTCTCACCAGGTTACTCAGCTCAGCCAGTTGGGCTGGGCAGGTGCTGCAGACACCACCCAGCTTTTCTCTGAGCTTTAGTTTTGTGTAACACACCTACTTCAGTGCCTCTGGCATTTGTTTCTTTTAGAACCTACAACACTTACATATCCACCAGAACAGTAAGAAAAAATATACTTATTCATAAAAGGTTTGATGAGCTAACAAATCATCATTTTGCCTTTTGCTCAAGCAACATGAGGAGCCGATCAACACACAGGAGTTTGTGTACACACATCTGTGTACAGAGATGGACTTCAGGGAGAATAGGGAAAGATTGGTTTACAGAGAGTGTCATATTTTCACAATATAAATAGGCTGATTAACTAAAGTCAATCAAATTTTTATAAAAGCAAGGAAAATCCCTAATGGTGCAAGGAGCTTGTTTCTGCAAAACTGGTTGCATGCATTTTTTCCCCTCATTGACTTAATATGACCACTCCCAAGCTTAAAATTAAGTATGTACTGAATGCTTAGATTTTCAAAGAAACCAAAGGATAAAAAATTGCCCCAAAAGAGAGCTAGGTCCAAGGTTTGTTTTTGTTTTTGTTTTTGTTTTTGTTTTTGTTTTTGGTTTTGGTTTGGTTTTGGTTTGGGTTTGGGTTTGGGTTTGGGTTTGGTTTTGGTTTTGGTTTTTGGTTTTGGTTTTTTTGTTTGGTTTTTTTTTTGCTTTTGGAAGGGTTTCCTAAAGTGTAGTTGTTCTTCATGATGAGATTTCTGATGTCTACAAGTTTCTGCATACATGTAGGCTATTGCCATGTGCATGTGTGGTTGAAATATGAGATCCATCTCCTATCTAAAAATATTGGAAAGTTGTAACTCCCAGAGGAAAATAATGTTGTATATTAAGAACAAAGGGCCCAGCATGGTCACCTAGCCTGAATAAGTATATATTTTACACAAATTCCTGTTGGCTAACAAGGTATCATAAAGTGCAGTTTTGTGCAGTAAGAGGTCATAACAAACCAGAGAAGGAACAGGTTGCAGAGCTTCTGCAGAGCATGTGATTGCTGTGTTCACACCCTGGCATGCCCTGTGACAGCTTGTTTGTACATCTGTTCCTACAGGCAGTAGAATCCTCATTTCATCTTTTGCTTAAAATTTATTTAATAGGGGCAAGAAGCCTGGCTATTAGAAATAGAAAAAAAAGTTGTAAATTGGCTAAATTTAATCTGAATACCATACAAAACCTTCCTGACTAAGGTATATCAAAGTTTATATAAGGTATATTAAAGAATCAGGGATTTTAAAATATAACCAAAGTCTCTATAAACAAGAAAACAGAGAACACCACTGAGAAATGAAAATTTGAAAATGCAGATTGTCATCTATTTGCATAATATAAGGTTTTGAGGCTAAAAATAAAACCCAACAAGTATAATGAGATTTGCAATAAAACCTAGAAGTGTATAAATCCAACACGAGCTTCCTCTTGTGTCATACTTCCAGTAGTATAATAAAAAAGCAGTGCTGTGAAGCAGAATATCACAGGAGAGGTTGGCAGTGGAAAATATTCCTAATTCAGCCTTAGTAAACTTCTGGGCAGATGATTTAGTTAACATGAATAAGAAACATAAGGATGTGAAGATACAAGTCCAAGAGCAGTAACAGCACCTCCTCTGTGTACATAAGGGGTGGCAGTGGCACAGCTCCCTCCACGTAAATTCACATATTTAACTAAGGTGCTTAAGTTAAAACTGGCTGATTCGGCTAAGAGCTGATTGTTGCCAGAAAGCACTCACCTTTTCCCTCTGCCCTTCTGTAACCCACTCTGCGCTTGGCTATGTGATCCTTCTGCTGACCTCCAGCCACCTCTGGAGCTCATCTGGCTGCAGGCTGTTCAACCTGATGAAACAACAGAAGTTACCTTTGCCCACCTTCCAAAGTGTACATTTTTTTGCCAAGTTAGTGAATTTTGTTGCCTGACCTTGAAACGAATCATATAAACTTCAGAGGCAGCACAAGAAAGATGTGGGAGAAAAGAAAGAGGAGCTGGTTAGGTGGGGACAGGACTCAATGTCCTCACTACAAGAGCTGATTTGGCTCAGCCACTTGTCACTCTCTGGACTCCCTATTTAACCTGTAGAGAGAAGTAAGTGGTTCCTAAAGCAATTTAGGGGAAGCTCTTATTTGTCTATCAACTATACTTAAAAATAAGGACAATACTTCCACAATTTTCTTAAACTAAAAGTTTAACTTAACATGGTATAAATATACTGCCTTCATCTTCCTTACTCTAAATCCAGCCTTCACAGCAAGCTGGAAAATATTCTATGGCTTTCAATGAATTTTTTTCTGTGTGGCATCTCCCTCTCAATACTCCTTTTATTTACATTTCCAGGTGTGGGACCTTTTAAAAATTTATTATTTTTTAATTATTCACTGAATCCTTAATTCAAAGTTTTCTTTCAGTGAATGACTTTGTTTACAATTTTTCTCATTCCATCATTTGTATTAAAAATATGACTTTTGTTCTCATTATTAGTCTTCTTCTAGCTACAGAATCATGCTTGCATTCTTCTGTAGTTGCTTTGGCTACCTCGGCTTGAATTTTCTTCTGTGAATGCTGTTTGCTATTGGACAACATACTTCTCTTTACAATTGCTTGCCTTCTTTATAACATTTTATTTGGAGTACTTTTCCAATTACATATATTTTTCTATTTCAGGGTTTTTTTCCCAGAAAACAAAACAAAACCAAACCAACCACAGGTGGTTGCAAAGGAGCAAGACTTCACTAGGAAAACAGCCTCAGGAAAAGTAAGAGACAACACTTTTTATCACATCAAACTTGTTCGCACATTTGTTTAACCCCTGTCAAATAGGCTGAGTCAAAGATTTGACTTTTTCTAGTGTTATGGATCTAGCCAAATATTTATTGCAGAAGATGCTTCTATCACCCAAAGGACTTGACTCTCTCCAGTTCTGTAACATCTTAGATATGTAGCTGCATAAACAAGAGATCCTCTGAAACAAGCAGTGTCCTCCTGCCCACAGGTCACCCAGGTGCCTTGGAACAGATGTGTGGGAAAAATGCTGGGACCAGAGGCTGGAGGGAGCCTGGGGCTGTGACTGAGAGCTGGGAAGAAAAGGGAAGCTGTGGCACTGCCCAGGAGAGCTATGGAGGGCTGGCTGTATGTGTGTTTGGAAGCAGTTGTGGAAATCTCATTTTAGACTTGAGAGGTCTGAAATCTCATTTTAGACTTGATAGGTCTGAAAATTACTCACAGATTTTTCTGTACCCAAGTTGCCTATCAGATAAGCATTCTCTCTGATTTTGCAGACAGAAAATGTAATAGATTAAGTAACCTCTGTACAAATTTTTTTTACAGGAGGTAATTTGGAAAAAGTCAACTTTCTGATTTCATGCCAGTTCTTTCCACATTAGACTGTCTTTCTCAGATGTTTTTGGCGTACTTGTTATTTTTGTCTTTGTATCTCTCTCCTGACAGTTGTAACATTCATATTACATTAACATTCATATTGAGTTTGAAACATTTTTTCTCCTACATTCACCCTTTTTTTTTCCCTTTTCTCTTGTTTCCTTAGCCACACCTTTCTCATTCAAGTCCCTTCTTTGAGAGGTTTTACAGCACTTTTGTCATACTGGTGCATAAGGAAGGAAATCCCAATATCAAATATTGGAAAAATAATGGTTTGAGGTACTGTAGCAGTGAGACCTTTAAAAAACTCCTGCTAACCTTGTGTCTTGCAAAACTATCCCATGAATTTTCCTTCTGTCATGAGTTGAACTTGTAAATGAAAACAGCCTCATGTGTCATTTGACAATAGAGAGACCTGATTATTCTGTTCAGTATTTTCTATGTCTATTTTCTTGACTTGTCTTCATAAATGCATGACATCATGCACAAATTGAATAGTCTTTCTAAACACATAATTTATTTTGTGATTGTCTGTGAATTGTCATTTAACCTTGTGAGTGCTACTACTGCAATAATGAAGTTTGTTACTTGTACACTATCTCTTAACCCTTGCTGAGTCGAATAGGAATGTCACAGATTCACTGCTGCTAGGTACAGCCTTTTTCCTCTGTGTGTGTATGTCTGTGCACAGAAAATACATTACAAATCAGGGATAAACTGAGTTTCTGCTTATAAACTTCAAGGATTCATTATTTTATTTCTTGCATAATATAATATAGAATATATAATAGTTTATTGTGGCGAGGCTGATTTGATCTGATGGAGCTCAGTCTATTACATTTCCTTTCATTTTTTTACAGATGACCGAGTTTTTCCCTTGGGATATGGAGTGAGGGTTGAAGTAAAAGAGCAAGCTTTAGTCCTTCAAGTTCTTTGCCAAAGTAAGGCAGATAAATGTAAATTTTGCTATATCCTACTAACAGCTTTAAGGAAAAACATCTTTGCTTCTAAATACAGTTAAAATCAGTTTGTGTCTGAAAAATTTTAGAAAGGTGAATTAAGCACAGTGCTACCTGAGTATAAATGTTGATAAGGCAGTTTTGCTCCTGGCACATGGGAATTAATTAATACAAGCACAGTATCAAACAGAAGAGACACAGCAATAGTCAGCTTTCTGTCCCATTATCTTAAAACAAATCATTGAGATTTATTCCAGCCATATTGCAATAGATGAAACAACTAATTTAGCGGAAGAAATAATAAACAATAAATAGAAATGAGTCCAGTTATTTGCATACTTAGTAGACTTCCTGAAGCTGGAAGTAAAAAGTGTTTATGGTATCAAAATTCCCTGCATGCAACCTTCCTCTCCACTGTAACTGGCAGTTTACTGTAAACATCAGAATATAAACATGTCTTGAGGTTGGTAAGTTGAATACTAATTAATTTGAGCAGGGTTTTCTAGATTTAAGGGATAGTGTGAAAGACAGGTTTGGGCATAAATAAACAGGCAGCAAAAACTGGCATCTAGGGAGTATTGGATGACAGGTGAAAATTACTGTGGAGGACCAACCTCTTTGAGGCCTGTAAATGTAAGGATGAAATGAGGGCAAAAATGAAAGATGAGAGTCCAAATATTTAATAATTTTGTTTCTCAGATCTTGGATGACAAACTTTCCTAGCACTTCCCACCTTGTGGGGTTATCCTGGACTACCAGCCTGGAATACCAGGAAATAAGAACAAAGCAATGACTACAGAAATATTCTTTAACTTAATACAAATAAAACTTCTGAAATTATTTCATTATCATGGATTTATGAGATATTATTTCAGAACATTATTCAATGGTCTAAAATCGTGAATTTTTTTTGACCTAAAAGCAATTCTGCATTTTGGGGGAAAAAAAAATCAAATCCCAGGCTGTACTCAGGGAGTATCCCTTTAGTCCATTGTCTTGATCTGCTGGAAACGTGCCTCACAGTAATAGGAAACCTTAATCTTTCTGTCAGTGGGCTGCAGGCTTTGCCGTGAATGTGGCTGGGCATACCAAACATATTTGCATGCTGCCAGGTGGGGCAGCTGCGCTGCCCTCGGGGCAGGGCTGGTGCATCTGGGCTGTAGTGAAAACATGCCCGTTGCACTGAGTAATTCACTACTGGTGGGAAGAGCTTCAACAGTAGTTTTAGGATGCAAATGTAGAGAATCAGCTGAAAAATCTTTTCTCAGAATCCTAACCAGGCTGAAAAAAAAACGGTTGGAGCAGTTTGGAGTTTAGTTTTAGGTTGTCAGAGGAATTATTAAGTAGATACTTCAAATACAGCTATTGTTCTTTGCTGTGATGATCACTAGTTTTTACATGTGAACTAACACATATGTTGCTGAATCTTCTTGATATTTAGTGAAAAAAATCTGGTACTAAAGTTGAAAAAAAATTATTAATATCAATTCTCTTATCACAAAATAGTTAGATATGAGTTTGTAAATTTCTGAGCCCAAAATTTCTGTGTAATCTTGAAGTTCTTTACATTTTCAAGCTAACAGAATATTACAGCACCAAGTTTATGTATTTAAACATAAACAGTGGCAACAATTAGAAAGCCATTATAATTAATTTTATAAACAATGGAAACTATTTTAAAACCTTTGTAATTAATTTTATAGTTATTTTTTCATTATGAATATATATATTCAATCTTTCATATGCTTATTTTTTTATTATATGAATGACTCACACTGCTGCTGCCCAAGGACCACCTGGTTTAGGAATGAAGATTTTATCAGCCTAAGCAGGAACCTCTCTAGTAATGGGAATTTTCATTCCAATTATTTGTTTCTAATAAAGATTTTTCATTGCTAGAAGAATTTCTCTGTTAAATTGCAGATGTCTAAAGAAGGGCCCAACAGTTTTCTCAGTGTTCTAGCAAGAAAACAATTTCAGAGCATTTCTCCGAGTGCAAGGTGTGAGCAGGTACCTGCTGCCTCTGCAGCACCCGCAGTTACAGCCTTGGGGAGCCACTAGAGGCTGCTCAATAAACACAGCCCCACCTTCGCTCTTCAGAGGGTGGATGAAGAAAAACATTCACAGAGCACTTGCGTGAAAGACAGCATGTTCTGCCTGGATGGGATAGTGGGGAGACACAAGAATAGAAAAAAAAAAAAAAAAAATTCTGATTCCTGGGCCATTTTATTTGCTGGTTGAAATTGTTAACACTTGAAGACATGATCTTGCTGACTGATGCTGCTTCTATTACACAGAGGCCGTTCTGTTTGATGAAATTGAGGGGTGGAAAACAAGAAAATTTATACACAGCAACAGGTTAGAACTCCAGCAAAAATACAGAAGGATTTCATCCTTGTCCACTCTAACGAATAACTGCTAGGGGAAAAAAGGTGTGTGTTTATATATATACTTCCGTAATTTACATGTTAAATATGTATGTATGTACCAATAAATACATATTCATGTTGTTTAGGAAAGATTTAGTAACAAACCTGTTCTCTTGTTTCCATCATCCTCTTGAGTTTCTAGTTTAGTTCCGATGAGAAAAAGAAAGTTTCTGCTGACTGGAGCTGCTGTCTTTTCAAAAGCTCCACCAACACAATGCTTCCTTGTGATCTTTGGTAAGGTCATACAGGGAATTTCTGTAAGTATTGTACTAAACCCTGAACTCCTAAACTTCAAACATTTTCTAAGATAAGAACAAAAACTACACAGGTGACATGAGTTCTGATAATCAGAAAGCATCACATCACAAAAATTATTTGCATGCACTGGAATTCTAGAGACAGGTTCAAAGGAACAAGAGGTGAGAAAGTATCACAGGCAAATGTGGACTCTAAAATGACCTTCCAAAATGGAGCTCACAAACCCAGGCACTTTCATCAGTAAATTTAGTATTGTGGAGCTGAAATATCAGTAATCAGAAGGTTACTTGTAGCTCAGTGCTGATTCATCTGGGGTGTTAAACGTTGCATTAGTTAAGCAAGAACAATTGAGAAAGAAGCTGTTTCTCAGAGATTAAGAGGTGATGGGGAAGACTCGATGGCCTGAGGCTGCTTTTGTTCTTAAAAGGTGGGGATGGGGAGGAAAAATGCTGCGTGGTATTTATTCATGAGCAAAGCTGGTTAACAAATGGGGACAGGGTGTTTATAAAATGGCTATTCTAGCCATCAGATTGGAGTCCTTTCTTGAAAACCTGAACCACTTCGTAGCTGACTAAAGTTATACTTTAAAAAGGAACTGTTTAAAAGCATGTGTCTGTGCATACTGCTATAGATACATGTGCAGAACTATCTGAAAGGAACACTCAAAATACATATGGTTGTGCATCTGATACATTGAAAAGATCTGCCCTTCACACCATCAGGTTTATTTCTGGGAAACAAACACTGACATTCAAGATCAATTTCTGTCAGGCATTGATGGCATAAAAAGTTTAAGGACAGTGCTGTACAGTTCTTTTTTCCTTATCTTTTTCCTTCTTCTGTGCTCTAGCTGCCACTTTCAACATATTTGAAAATGTAAGATTCCAGCAACCCAGAGGCTGAAGTAGTTGCTGTGGGTATTTCAAAATACTGCTAAGTAGCTATGAGTGCATGACCCATTAACTGATGAAGAATTTGGATGCTTACTGTCACTTTATTGTTTTGTTTCCTTCTGTACCTGCATCTGAAGTACATTATTATTCTGTCTTTAGATCAATATGGTCTGCACTAAACTGATGAAAATGAATGCCACAGCACTTCAGCCAAGGAATTTCCTTAAGGAAGTCTGTGATTACATTGTTGTCATGCTAAAGTATTTGTTTGAAGGACCCTGTAGGGGCATGATATGGTGATTCCTCTTCACAGCAGTACTTGTGAAAGCAGCTTATAGTTAAAACAGCATTTTTGGTCCCAGCCAACTGTCAAAAGAAAAAAAGTTGTGAAACTGTGACTTAGTTTAGCTAAAGAATAGTTAAGGAGTCAAGGCAAGGCGTCTAAAAATTCCCCAAAAAATTTACTTGCCAAAACAAGTTCTAAACCCCTGGTAAAAAACACGAAATCAGCTTTTTACATTGTGTAAGTAATGAAAGGGAGGTTTTGGCCAGTCTTACGGTTTGCTAAAAGGAGACTCTTTTTTTCTCCCTCCTGACTGTGGCCCCTCTGTTTATGTAGGCTCTGGCTGTAGCAGAGCTCAGTCAGTCTGGTTGGTGTTCAAAAGGGGTTTTATTGGTGAATTAACAAGTGGTTTTGGCTCAGCCAGAGTCTGACCACAACTCCAACAGGTACAAAGAGATGGGACATAGGAATCTGGGAAAAAGAAGTGTGGGGAAACAACAAGGGCTTCCCACTTCTGGCAATGCTAGGCTGTTAAACCAGCTTAGCTGCAGTTAAATACTACAAAAGTTGTGTTCAGAAGATTTACTTGAAAAGGCATGTGTCAAATTTCAGATTTTTCTGAACAGAGTTTAAGTTCAGAATTAACTCAAATTTGCAGGTAGTCATGTGAGCCTGTTGTCTGTTATCTATTTAAACCAATAAAGTTTTAGACTTAGGTATTATCTCAATAACAAAATTTTAGACATTTCCCTTAGTTCTACGATGCAATGAAACAAAACACAAAGAGACTTAAACACCCTCAGCCAGTTTTGCAGTCATCTTATCATGCTCACTAAGAGGAAAAGTGGCAGAGCAGTGCATCAGTTCACTGTGAATTTAGCAGTTCCATAAATGCTAGTCCAGCACTCTCTCAGCAATGCTGCTGAGACTGTTGAATATGTTGTCACACACGACTGTTGATCTGTACCGAGTCTGGAAACATTTTCCCTGCTCTGAGGCTGAATAGGTCTTTGCCAGGCCAGCTATTCAAATATACTTCTGTGTTAGCTAGCTACAAGTCACACAAAATATGAAAAATTGTTAGCTTTACGCCACATGAGAACCGATTTGTGTTTTGCTTCTGGATCATTGCTTGAGTACATGATCTACATAACAGAAAATGTTCAAGCAGTGGATGCTCTATTACTCAGCTGGGAGGGTTAAAAGTAAAAATGTAAGCTACACTGAACAGATAAATTGACATTTAACCATTTAACCACAGGACATAGTGTTTTTATTAACAGATACTGCTACTGCTGAATGTTCTTATGGACTGTAAATCTTTCTCTATTTTTGTTTTTTTGAACTGTATTTGATGTCAAATACTCAGATTTTTTTCTTTTCTAACAAATTAAAATATTCTTTTGTCCCTCCTGCCTCATTGAGACAAACTGTACAGTGGTGCAGGAGTATGTTTGTCCTCTTGCTATGGGTTTATTGTGCAGTCACTGCCCAAGAACATTTTCAATGGTGACCTATTTCTGGGTGGGCTATAAAGAAAAATGCCCATTTAAAAAAGGAAAGGGGAAGAATATCCAAGGCCTCTTTGAGGCTTTTGTCTATCACCTCTATATTATGAAAGCCTTGTATCAGATTCCCACATGTCCTTATTATATGTATATAAACATACATATTTTATACTTAAAATTGGATGAGTATATTATCCTGTGGTTTTCTTTGTAGTGCAAAAGAAGTGTGAGACTCATTACTGTTTGAACATGCCTAGTGTAAGTTTCAGATACATCTACTTGTTTTGATATTCCTCTCCAGGGTAAAAAATTCAAATTGGCCCAGAGAACACACAAATCTGGAGGGAAAGTGAAAAGTCTAATCACTGGGTAAAATTTGACTGTCAAGTCTTCCCAGGACATTAAGGAGAATTGTGAGAATTAAGTTGAAGGAAGCAAAGAGAAAGAGGAGGCAGAAGATGTTGCACAACTCTGAGCAGAGATTTCTTTTAGAATACTTTGTGAAATAAACAAAAGCTAGAATCTCTTCACATGAAGTTCATCATATAAGATTGACTTTTCAAATCTGAATGGTGTTAGATCAGCTCAGCTCACCATAAAATTAGTTGAGGTATAGCTTAATGTTACTTCTACTATTTCTTGAACAACATACAACTAGGATTATTTATGAATGATTACAGAGAAGAAAATTCAGTATGAGATGTTGATTGAATTGATAACACCATTTGATTTGAAGGTAAAGCAGTAACTGCAGAGCACTGCTCTGGGGCACTGTCTCACTCCCTTTTTCTAGAGCATCTCATGGAAGAGGTTTGTATTTACACGGCCAAACAGAAATGCAGCTCTCTAGAGAATATTTGACTCATACCTAAGTAGTGTGAGGCCTTGCAGAGGATAAATGACAGTTATGTTCCATTAATACAATTCTACCCTTTAGCAGTGGGCAAAGGACACAAAGTTATGGAAAGTTCAAAATGAAAATGAAGACAAATATAACAGATGTCCTTAAAACCTGCAATCACTGCATAACTTTTTGTGGTGAAATTAAATGCATCTAAATATCGCAAAGCAATAGGTCACATTGAATATGACACTAGCAATACATTCTTTATTCAGAATGGATCCAGATTCCAGGAAGTATAATATGGCAAATTAATATAAAAAGTAATGACAATAAAGCTTTTGCTTTAACTTTCAACAGGAATTCACTCATGTTCTACTCATGTAGTAAATTAATTTGTACAAGGCCCAGGGGAGTCTTTTATTTGCTGATTTCTATTGAGTCTGGTTAACAGGAAACAACAAGTTAGCTCTTTGCTGGATGCTGCCTTCACAGCTGCTACCTGTCATGTTCCAGTGAAACTTCTTGAGAAACCATGCAAATGCTAAGAAATTCCAAATCTTTTGCAGGAATGCAGTTTACATCACATTTGGAATTTTTACAAAAATTCATTCATGATCCAGCTTTGGACTAAAGCTTGATGCTGGATTGGCTTGATACACACAGAATTGGTGGTATATCAATGGTGGTATATCCTTATCCCTTTCCAAAAGCCTTGCTGAGAGGATGTCTTCAGCATTAAGGCTAAAATATAATTTCATGCTATTGTCAAGTGGGAGTAGATATCCTGAGTCCTGAATCTCAGAGGCTCTTCTGCCAGTCATGCCTTTTGTATATCAAGGATATCAAAGTGAGGCACATGGACTCCAGCTCTGGCCATATGTTGGTGTGTGTTACACAGAGGAGGAGTAATGAGGAGAAAAACAGAAGAGCTTATAGAACCCTCCCGTGCAGCACTTGTTATTCATAACCAGCCTATCAACACATTGTGTTGAGTCAAGCAGTTCAGAAGTAATCCTTGCTGTTCTGACATGAACTTCATTTTATTAGCTGTTTAAGGTGTAGCCTTACACAGAGTATATGGCAACAGCATTATCCAGGCTGAAAGCAATTATTAAGGGCTACAATGAGCAAAAGTTGCATAGCTATAAGTAACTTCAGAGTGAAGCTGCTTAAACATGAAGGCACTGCTGGGAGGGGTGGAGGAAAGGTATCATAAAGAACCACTTATGTGAAAAAAGCATGTTTCTCCTATGCAGTCATTCCTTAAAAATAGTCATATCTACTGCTGGTAGGAAAATGACAGAGTCACTCTCAAATCAAATGTGAAATTAAGTATAAATGGCATTATAGAAGATGTAAATTTCACACTACTAAGGCAGTTTTTCTTTGAAGTGTTGCTTCCTTTCACTGGAGAGCAGGGGGGAGACAGCAATTTGTGAGTGATGTGTGAAATATGTATTGAATCTGTACTTGTAATACTATTGTGGGAAAGCTGTGATCTCTACAGACATTTGATTATTCTGTATTGCTATGTACTCAGCTAATGTTCTGCATTTTCAGAGACTTGAGAGAAAGGATAGAAAAAGATGAACTAAAAGAAGATTAAGGAAGTCAGAAATGCTAAATGAGACCAGATCAAATATATCCTTTGGCCCGAACTTGAAAACACTTAGGGAACAGAAAGGTGAGGAATGCAAATGAATATGTAACAAAGGATCTATGTATATATGCATGTAGATATACATCCATATTTATCTGTAATGTGGGATCATGTGTTTTGATGAGCTTGCTATCCAAATGTTAATATTGCCTTGTATGAAAGATGTATTTTAATTCAGGAAATAGATTAGGAAACCGAACTTTTATGTTTTAATTCTTTGAAATGTGATGTTGAAGCAATTGAAGCAGCTCAAGCTGTCTATGCCTTTATTCTCTAAAGGGCTAAAGAAACAAATAGATCCCCGATCTCTGATTTTCTTTCATATATAAACAATGCTCTTGAAATTACTGTCTTTTGTCTCAGTCAAGGACAGTAGATCAAATAAACTCCTCAGTGTTTCATGCCCAAACTGATTTTTCTTGATACTTTACAACATTTCAATTCATATATTTTCTTGTTTCATATTAAAAATAAAGGTAGGAACTGTGGTTTTATGAATTTAAGAGCATTTCCGTGCCCATCCTTTCCCTCAAACTGAGTTCCCTGTTGAAATGTTATAAATGCTTTTTGTCTCTTAGCCTTGATTGTGTTGTGAAAAGGCACATGAAGATGGAAGAGAGCACATTTTTGTATTAAATAACAGCATTTGACAACAAATACTTGTTGCCCAAGAGCCAGGAACTGTAGGTCTGACTTGTAGAACTTTTGACTTAATAATCCCTTTTCCTGAAAGGGACTTAGTTTTTTGCCAGTTGTCATACACTATTTTTTTCAGTTGAGACTATGTAATCCTGCCTGCTTAATCCCCATATTATCAGTCCCTTATGATTTTTCTAAGGAAGAGGTGTTTCTCATCTACATAGGAGAAGAATACCCAGTCTCTCTGATGCAGCATATTGTCCACACAACAATGAAGAGGTTACTGTATGACTCTGAATCAGGGTACATAGTGGATTTGTAAATCCTTTTGAGGCTGGTCTTGAGTAAGGCAGCTAATCCCAGTAAGAGGGTATTGCTTCACATGAAATCCTTGCAGAGCTGTGGAATCCATTCTTCCACACCAGCTGTCCAGGCTGTTTGCCTTCTGGGGCTTTGGTTGCTACTATAGATAAACTGTGCAAATAAATGAAACTGGCTGTCACTTTACACCCACTAGTTTAGTTTCATTATGTGTATGCTCCCAACCTCCTTCTCCTCTTTCTCTGCCCCCCAATAAAATGTTGGGACTACTATGGAGACTGCTATTCCTTTGAAGCAATGAAGCTGCATCCTCAAATGCATTGTCTGTTCCCTGTAGTGCTTTTAGGTCTGTACAAGTTCTAAGAGTGCAAGTGAGAATCCTTTCCCATTGCATTTGAGTCTACATCATTCTAATGTGCACTGCAGATTTCATTCTCAAAAAAAAAAAAAAAAAGCAATAAAGTAACTGATTGCAAATTTTTAGTTTTCTATTGTTGCCTGTATCTTCCTCTGTACAGAAATCCTTAAGGAAACTTGCACTAAGATGCTGTTGGTTTTCTGTCCTTTCTTAGAAATGCTGGGAATACAAAATACTTTAATGCCCATGACCCAAATGCTTCTGATTAAGTTCCCACAGAATACAATTACTCACACCTACTCCACCTTGCTGCTGTGCCAGTAACTGTATCTTACTAATCATCCCTACTATCCACCCAAGCCTTAGGAGCTGCTATCATTTAGAACATGCCATGAAAACTGTAAGAAATGTTTAGTGGGAGCCTGAAGTCCCCTTTGCAGTATGCAGTGACAATAGAACACAAGATAGTTTTAATACACTGCAGAAGAGGAAAGGATAAAGAGGGAAATCAATGAAACTGTGGGACTGATTCATCAGTAAGAATGTTCCTGATATGAATTTTCTGCCTTCTTTAGGCATTTTTAGCCAGCTTGAGTTTCAGCAATGAGTTCTGTGCTTAGATTTGTTTTTCAGCACCAAGTGGGTGTGTGTTAAAAAGTTGCTTCTTTAAGTAAACTATGTTAAAAACCCCAAACAAACAGCAAACAACTTCCAGAGGTTGATGTAATTACTGAGCATCAACAGGACTGACAGATCCTTCTACATAATAATTTAAATTACAGATGAAGCAGGAAAAGGAGAATGCAAGTGATCTAGCAATTACACCATGGTGCTACCTCAGAGCACTGAGAGGGTTGTTTACATATATTATAAATAATGAACCCTTACCCTGTGTGCTGGAGCTACCAGTCAGCCTACAGCATCTGGAGCAGCCCAGAGGGATTTCAGAGGGACCCACCAATTCATTTTCTTCTGTCACAAAGCAGCCACCAATGGAAGCTCTGGAGTTAAAGAGATGAAAGGGTAAGAAACATCACCACCCCAAACAAGGAATTCTTCTGAAAAACACATCTTATGGTAAATACTTCCCCAAGACCTTGTGTGAACTATTTAACAAGAGCACAAAGACAGGTGGCTTTGCCAGCCAGGCAAGATCTTAAGATGTAGATGTTTATGTTGTTTTAACCTCCAATTATCTCTCTGGAGTAGAGGAGACTGCTTTTAAGGCTGCACAGAGCAGGAAGTGCTAAGTATATTCATAAAGGTGTGGCTTTGCTCCCTAGCAATACCTTGGCAACAGGGACTGCTAGCCTTAAGTAAAACAAACACGCTTTGTGGAAATCAAAAGTTGAGAATGCAAGCTATTCACATCTTTGATTGAAGCAGCCAGTCTTTGATTGAAGGTGGTGGGCTCCACCTTGCTCCCCTAAACCAAAAAGATTCACAAGGTTTGGAAAGATAAATCCTGTGCTTTTGATAGCAGTGCAAAATATAAAATGTTTTTTAAACAGTTTGCAAAGTCAGTTTTTAAAAGTCAGTGTTGTGAGGAAAGGAGGAATTTACACATTAATTTATCAACAACTTGATGTTTTATACGTTCTCTGATAGGGATTCCTGCATAGATAGAATGTAGTCCATAGTTTTGAAGAGACAGGAAAACCTGATGTCACAAGCTTACATCTATATAGAGTAGGTGTAAAATGCTGCCCATGGTGACTCGGTGTGACAGTGACAGCTGGCCTGACTGCCCCTAGTGAGGCTGCAGGTATTCAGCGGTACCTGGCCCTAGCAAAGCTTGATGTGCCCTAAAGCCACGGATTCATGACCTAGCAGGCAGAAGTGCCCCCTTGTTTGCCCATTCCCATGAGTCTTGCTTTTTCCAGGATAACTCAAGCAATGAAGGAATTACTCCACTTTAGACAATAGAGGATCGGACTCCTCAGACTCCCTCCTCACACAAAGTAGAGCACTTGAGTCTGGAAAGGAGTAGTTAAAGTTAGTTATGTCCTGGACATCTACTTCACCTAGAGCCAGAGCCTTATCATCGGTGCATTCGCCCAAGCCACTGCAGAGCCACTCCCAGAATGTGCCAGGTAACTTCCTCTCCTGTGCCCCAGGGCTCTCTTTTTCTCCTCACCACCAAGTATTTCAGTGTAGAAAAGGTAAAAATCTTAATATATGTTAACTGTGTGACACCATGGTTGAAATAATTATTTGAGGAAAACAAGGAATGACTGAACACAAGGTGACATTTCCTGTCAAACAAGGGTGTGCCACATTAGCAGAGGGTTGTGAAAAGGAGGTGAGGTAGTACTGGAACTTATGAAACAGCTCTGTCAGGGTATATTATCACAACTCCAACTTGCTGGGAAGGGAATTGCACCTGCTTGCATGTGCTTAGTCATTATCTGTGCTTATAAAGCAATTCTATAGTTATTAAGTGATAAAATGCACTGAATTGCATCATATGGCGTCTTAAATTTAAAATTTCTACAGCATGCCAAAAGGAATAATCTAGGTATACCTGTCTCCTTTCTGTCTGAATACATTTACTGATTGTGCAATATGTTCCTCTGAGAATATTTCTTCTCAGGAAACCATATCATTCTCCTGTATCAGCCAGATGTATCTGTAGGGACATTACTTCTATCTTACTTCCACAGTAGGATCCAGCATCAGGCCCAAGGAAGAGAGGTACTTGTTTTATCACACTCAGAGGTTAAAGTGAAAAGAGCATTTGTTGAATAGAACAGGGAAATTTATTTAAGTGAAGATCTGATGATTCTACTGACATGACTGTAACTATATAATACAGTTCAATGTGAACTAGAGACTTCCATGCAAACAATTGCATTTAGAGGTGCTGTAGAAAAAAATCAGATGACTTTGCAAAATCTGTGGTTGTCTTATCAAGCTGCAAATGGTAGAGTAGAAAACAAAGTCATCTAATCTTCCTAGAAATTGGCATTAGTTCTGCTAGAGGCTGGTAGTCATGAGTCAGACAAGACTTTTTAAAGACCTTGTACTTTCAAGACAGGGCAGTGAAAACAGAAATACAAAAAAAAAAAAAACCAAACACTGACAGGTCTGTTTCTTTGGGGAAATGATGCCATCCCTGTGTTGGATAGAATAGGACACGATGTGTCCCCTGTGAAATCCCCTTGTCAGATCTTAGGTATGTAACAATGGCTGTTAGAAGTGAAGTGAAGCAAAATAACCATAATCAAGATGAAAGATCAGGAAATCATTGAATTATAGGTACAATCATGTCTATTTTGGTTGCACATAATTGCATTCATCAATTTATTATACAAAATACTTTGATGAAATATTCTCAGAGCCCAAGTACTTCAACAGATGGTTACGTTTTGCTTATGTTTTGCATTTATATTTTACTTCTGTTTATACTGTGGTGAGAAAAAGAAGTGTATTAGCATACCTGTATGTGGAATAAGTTTAATTAAATTCTAATGAAGAGACAGGTTAAAATATCAGGGCAGTTAAATATTATAGGAACACACCTTCCTTTTTTATCAAGGTTTTTATGTCAGCTGAGAGTTTGTGGCACAATCTGAATAAACAGACAGAGATTAGTGATTTCTGCCAAGGTAATCTCATGAGAGAGACCAGTATCAACCAGTTTTCAGTAAAGCTTGAGAAGATGTAACCTGCATAAATTTGTCATTAATTATGTAAATGTTACAGTTGTTTTTCGTTGAATAACTTGGAGTTTCAGTATATACAGTCCTTTGTATTTGATGATCACTTCTTTCATCACTGGTGCCTTGCAGCACTGATTATCAGCTCTCAGTGAGTGAGAGCAGTGTGGAGCATGCAGATCTTTTGCTGCAGATAACGGCCTTTACATTTCTTGTGCTGTCTGTTTGGCTTTTGTGTTTACATGCAGAGGTGACTGCAAATGTGTGACTGGAATCCAGTGTTCCAGATGGCTGTGGCCACTTTTCACTCTGCAAAATCAGTGATTTTGTGTTTCATTGAACTTCTGAGAACTTTCTAGCTGCACAGTGTGAATGCATTTATGTGTGGGAATATGACAGGCTGAATATCATTTATTCATTGAAGGAGTGTTACAGAAGGTTTCTATAAGGGTAAAGCACTACTGAATTTCCTGTCTTGCTACTCCTATGACTGAAAGTCTCTGAGTTGGTCTGTTAAAATATGAAGTACAATTGCCCAAATTAAATGCTTTATGTAGATATTAGGTCATTCTCATTTACTATTAAGAGGAGTTAAACTCTTGATCTTTTCCCAAAGAATATAACTTTATCCTGTTGAACCATGAATGCGCAATTTTAAATTCTATTATTTATAAATTCAGAAGATTATTCTATTTAATTGCATGTAAATACTAGTGAATAACAGAGAGCATTTTGGCTTTTAGCTATTGCAGTTTATGGTGTTATTAATTTATTTTTTACTCCTTTCACTAGGACAATAGTGATAGTAGCAAGAATGTTGGTAATGGAATTTCTTTCCTTTATAGCTTATGTAACAAATTCTTCACTAGATTAACTTTCTCATTAAAAAGCAAATTTTTTAATGTTGGATATTCTGCCACACCAACAGACTTGTAAACTGCTATATCCTTTCAATGGGCAAAGAGAGAATGGATTAGTATATAGAAGTGTTCTGATCTAAGACTGAACATCAGTCTTGCTTAAAAACCTGCCACAAAAAGGATATTTGCCTTTGAATTTTCTTTCTCATATTATACTGTAGTTGAGTCTAGTAAAAAAAAATGAGCAATTGAAACAAAAATTTGTTTAGACTGATTGTAAAGGCAATAGAGCTTCACACAAAGTCAGTTTTGAATCCCAGGTAAGGTAGATTGAAAGGGTCAGGAAGTACTTGCATATTCATCTCATTAGGTAACAGGAATTGTACCACATGGCTTGTCTAATTTGCCACAACTTAAAGATCCTGCCTCAACGAGTTGCAGTGAATTATTTAAAAATATAGCAGTGAGATCAGATTGGCAACTAGGAGAAAGTTTCTCATCAGCAAAGAGGTGCAGCACTGGAATGGGTCATCCCTGGAGGCTTCCAAGTCACAGCTGGACAAAATACTGGCTGGTTCAATGCAGTGCTGGCAGTAAGCCAGTGTTGGACAAGAGGGCTTGCAGAGGACCCTGTCAGCAATCATTTCAGTGATTCTAAATCTAGAAAACTGTTCAGTAAATTATTTGACAGATGGCATTATTTCCAATTAAAAGAAAAAGGAATTTCATTTTATTTGTTCTAAACTGTTAACTTTGATGTAAATCTATAATATTTATGAAAGGCACTACTATGCATGCATGTTTTGTCTGTCCACAAGTTTGGTGGAAAAGTAAATGCTTAGATTTTCAAAAGCCTGGTAGGTGTAATATGGGGAAACTTGGCTAAACAACTCACACCAGTACTCCAATGGGAACTGAGCACATATAAAAGCTTTGTAGGATTAAACCACTGCATTGATTGTCATCCCATAAAGAAGAGAAGCTATGTAAAATGATAGGGGAAGTAATTTCATATTTATTTATCTTGTCTAGTCACCAATTTTATGTTCTAACTTACCTTTATTTCAATAGAAATAAATTCCAACTGATACAGGATTCTAAGTGAATGCTTCCAGTGTGGCTTGGTGGTTCTGGGATTTGCAGGGTAACAATCCACTGGAACCACAGTTCTGAAGTTCTTCTGCAGATTGCTGAGCTTTTGTGGATATCTCAATGGAAATTATTTCAAGGCTGCTACAGTGCATTGTAATCATGGCACAACTACCTGGCAGACCAAAAAATCAGATCTCTCCAAATATCTGGACAGCAATCAAAGAACACTGCTAAGCACTTGTTCCCATGTCTTTTCCCACTCATTTGCTGTTAAAGAAAGGATGCCAGAAAATTCTTTACGTATGGGTTTATGTTTCAGGAGTTACAGTAAGCTCCTCCTTCAGCAAATATTGCTGCAGTATCTTATAATCCAGTCCAGGAGCCAAGGATTGAATGGGTATGAGATCTAAATGTCTTCTCACATTCGCTTACACATCACTTACAGATCTTTTACTTCCAGTGCCAGTTCAGTTTGGAAAAGCTGAGGCATGCAGAGAATTTACTACTACTATCCCTATTGTGCAGAGAAATACCAAGCCGTCACACTTATTCAGTTTCATATCTCTGTTTCTCAAAATCATAGGAAAAAATAGCTAGAAGAAATCTCTGGACATCTTTTGGTGCACATCCTTGCCCTGCCACCATGGCCAATTTTGAAATTAGAGGCAACTTCAAAGTTAATTCACTTTTTTCAGGGTATTTCAAACAATTTCACAGGGATAAATAGCATCATCATTTTCCTCCTCTTAACTGATTTGTAAAATATTCATGAGAACAAATAATTTCTCAATATCATACTAGTTTGGAACAAATTATCAACTTCCATGTTCCTTGAAAGGTTATTGAGATATTTCTGTAAATCTAAATGCAGCTAGGATATTATTCCAGATCTTGTCTCAAAGTTTCATACTCCTTTAACAAAAGGACTTCAGTCATCAGGACATTCAGTTCACAGGAATTTTTAATAATGTAGTAAAAGAGATGGTTCCCTTCCCTTCCCTTCCCTTCCCTTCCCTTCCCTTCCCTTCCCTTCCCTTCCCTTCCCTTCCCTTCCCTTCCCTTCCCTTCCCATGAAAATGCCATTACAAATTCATCCATTCAAGCACAATGCTTTTAATGAGTCTCTTCAGTGTTCTCATGTGATCTAACTGTAAAACTGTAAAACATTTTACATTTTTAATTGCTTGATTAATAAGAAACAAAATAATCACAGTACTGAGCTTGCATTACAATGAGTGTAATCTTTAAAACTTTTCTTCTCCACCCAGTTCCATTTATAAGATGTTACCCTCATATGGAGCCTACAAACAAGTACCTCTATAAATATACCTGCCAGGATTAAAGCTAAAGGTGAGCAATAACTCTTTATTTCAGCAAGATCTTGGTTACAAATTAACTTTTCTATGCTCAGTGTAAAAGAACTTGTCCCATGTGTTTTTCAGGAACTGGATCCTGTTGCTGTTCTGTTGAGACATATATCATTACTTTATATTATTTAGAGCAATAGATTGCTAGTATAATTCAGGGCAGAGAATGGGAGGGTTGTGGATAGAAGATGAATGAAAAGCCCAGTTGTATAATCTGATACATACAATGTGTGATATTGCAGGAAGGCCAGCATTTATTTAAGGGTTTTTTAAAACATTTTAGATTTTTTTTTAGGTTTATTTAGCTAGAATAGTTCAGATAAATTAGTAATTTAGTAGAATTATATGAGTTAAGATAGTCTAAAAGTAGAAAACAGATGGGCTTTCTTGAAGAGAGGCTACATTTTATGAATGAGCTAATATGTTTGTAAAAAGCATAGAAGCTTTTGGGCTCACTAGCCTTCGATACCATGTGTAGATTTCAAATAAATTTTCAAGGGTCTTTGGCATTGATTTGAGGAGGACTTCTTTAATCTGACATGTTGCTGAGTCAATTACAATTATTTTTCTTTCACATTAGATCCTAAAGACAAGTACATATGTATTGGCATTCTCTGAGCAAGTTCACTGGAGCCTATGAGCATATGTGTCAACCTGGCCAAGAATTTATCATGTGTATGATCTTCTATAGAAATCTGCTAATTAAAACCCCATTATGTATTAAGTACTCACATATTAGGGCTACAAAATTACATCCTCATGAAGGCAGCTAAATTGCAACAGCCTGGTATTTTTTTCTGTGAACATAGCTACAATTAAAATCTGTATTTACAGTTAATCTGTGTTTACACTTATCTGTACAAACACTGCCTCTCTCCAAACACCCCTATATATATGTATGAGTTTGGGAGGAGGGGAACAGGTTGGGAAAAGAGGAACAGTTCTCACATTTGCAGTCACTTTTATGGTCCTTATTACAGACTCCAGGGATAAGAATAATGCCATACTCAATAACATACTGTTAGATTGTTTCATTACCACTAGGTCCAAAGGATGTAACAAAAGGAAAATGAATGGGGTTTTATTCTACCAAGAACTTCTGGAAATGCTTTGACAGAGGAAAATATAGCTGTGGCATAAATTCAGCAGTGCTAGAAAATACAATGCTGAAAATATTTTGAATATATAAATATATACATGTTACAGATTAAAGTTTCCATCTCTGTTCCAGAATTTGCCTTTCTGTAACATATTTTCAGGACTGCTTCTCAGACAGCTGCATGAGCTGCAGAGACAACAGCTGAGAGGTGTTTAACTGCCTTGTGATGTTCAGTGAGATGCACCTGTGCAAGGTTTCCTGCATAGCCTCTGTCAGATAAATACTTATAACACATGAATTCTAAGATCAACATCCCTGAACTGTAGTTTGTTTTCACTGAAATATATGGAATTAGTCTTGCTGGTGGTGTTAGCGTGGAGAATCAGTGCTTGCCAGAAGGAGGTCCATAATAACTGCTATAATTAATCAATTATAAAATTGGAATGTTGAAAGATGAGAAAAATGTGATTTAATAATTTAAGCCATCAGATAGTCACAGTTAAATGCCCAGCTCTGCATTTTCCCAGGGAAGACATCAATAGCTAAATAGCAGCACCAATTTTCATTCAGTAAAAACTCTATTTCAAAACAAACACTAACATTGAAGTATAAACTGAATATTTAATTAAACAAAAGAAAAATTATGACTAGTCTAACTTGCAGCATTTGGCCTTTACAAATCATTCATCATTGGTGGCAGTAGGAAAAATAACTTTCAAAAGAGTTTAGAAGCCTTTTGATGTTTTTTTTTTCTGCTTTAAAAATCAATTTGAGTTTGAAAATATCTCTGAACATTTTCTCAGTCCCCGATGTTTACAAATATTGCTGCTGCTGTTGAGCAGGAGTATTTTCATAGCAGCTAAACTAGGTGGAGGTTTCCCGTGGTAGCCTCACCAGTGAAAGAGGAGAGAGGAGTGGACAAAAGCTGCCCATCTTGGACTGCAGTGAATGCCCAGGAGACAGCTCCTCACTGAGCACTTCTAGGGGAGAAAATGCAGGTTTTTATACTGTGTTTTGGCTAAACTTCCCAGATACATCCTTTCTCAAAACAAAAAGAATTGTTTTACGAAGACCCGTCTTTACAAACTATATGAAGGACAGGGCCTAAATTGCAAATCACTCTCTGCCTGTAATATCCCTTAAAAATCCCTGTGGAATGCTACACTTCCATTACACATTAGCATTGGAGTCGGTAGCTGGATACACACAGAGCAACGTGCACAAAGGGCAATTACATAGAGGCAGGTGAAGATTTTCTCTCGTGGAATTCAAAGCTGAGCCATAAATCGTGTTTTAGCCACGGTACTCGGACGTTGCCGAGGTTTGCCCCGCAGCGGGCGCGGGTCCGAGCGCACAGAGCCCCGAGTGCCCCGCACGCCGGGCGGCACCCGCCGAACCGAAAGCAGGTACAGGCACTTCCTGCAGGCAGAATTCAACAGAGAAAGGGAGTTTGCCTCTGATCTCCTTCAAAAACCAATCAGGCCAGATCAGCCAGGCGTTGATTCTCCCTCCGTCCCTCCTACACCTTTTCCAGAGGCCCAATGGCCTTGTCCCTTTGGGAGATTGACTAGAGTCACATGAGCTGCACCAAGGGCAGGTAACTCAGGAGAGGGGAAGAGGGAAGGAGGAAAAAAAAGAGAGAGAGCGAGAGAAAAAAAAAAGCCCAAGCCCAGACTGAGCTTCTGCCATGATGTCAGAGGGAAAGAAACCCACAGTTTGCTAATTTCACCTCCCAATCCGCCCCGGGAAGGAGATCACCGGGAACAGGTAGAGATGGGAGCTTTCTTTCTCAATTTTTTTTTTTTTTTTTTTCTCAAACACCCAACCTCCTAAATAGCTCTTTCTCTCCTCTTTATATTGTGACTTCTTGTTCGCTCCTTTTCCCTTTGATTACTTGGAGGTAGGGGGTGAGCCTTGTGGGATTTTTTGGGTTTATTTTTTTTTTCTTGTTTGTTAGTGTGTCTTTCTTTTGCTTTTTTTTNCAGTGTTTATCTCTGCAGGGCCTGGGGCACTGGGGCATCTCTTAATGAGCACTGCTACTAGTAGGTTTTGTTGGGTTTTTTTTTTTTGACCTCTGCTTTTGATTGTAGTTGTTTCCCCCTGTGGTCATGACGGCTTCGCACAGTGACTCTTTGGTGGTGTTGTTTGGGGCAACAGCTGGTGCATATGGGGCTAAACTGGGTTCGGATGAGAGGGAACTAATTCTCTTGGTGTGGCAAGTTGTGGATCTACAGAACAAGAAGGTATGGCTTCGATGTGGGGGCTCGGGCGCGTTCCCCGGCGCGGGGCGAGCGGGCTCTGCCGGAGCCGTTTGTTCATTTCACAAATGCACCGAGGGGCGGGAGGGCGCGGGGCCCCTCCGGGGGTCGCTCCCTGCCCGGGGCGCTCGCTACCTCGGGAAGCTCCTTTTTGTTCCGTCTTGAGGGAAGGAGTAACTTTTAAAGAAAGTCTGGCCGCTTCCACACCCCACTGCCCCGTCCTCCTTAAATCATGTGTAGCTTCGAGGATGTCTACGGACTTTTGAAGCTTTAAAACAAAAAGCTGCCCCCGGTGGCTCCGAGCGTGCTCGCTTCCCTGGGAGCCGGCTCACGGTCACCGTTGGACCCTTTGGGCCTGCTTTTTGTTTGTTTAACCAATGTTTGGATAACCTTTAAGAGAATATTGACTTCTTTTAATTTTTAGGCCAACCTAAAAGTCTAGTTTTTTTTCTCCCCAAAAGCCCTATCATAAATAACCCCCTGAAGACGAAGGGCTTTGATAAAACAAACAAGGCTATTAATTTTATTAGTGGATTCACGAAACTGCCTTAATATTAAGTGATCTTCCCTTTGCACTTAACTCCCGCAAAAGTCGGTGCTAACTGCCAAAGGCCTCCCATGGAAATGGGCCTGGATACGCCGAAGGAGAGAGCGTGGCTCTCCGGGGTGGGAGGGAGAGAAACCGCGGCCAAAGGTTTCGATTTGTGAAATAGACAAATGCGTTTTCTCCTGGCATTTATCGGGAGGTGATACTGCACCTTTCTGATTTTTCTGTAATCTCAACACATTGTTACAAAGAGCTATTTCGATTGTTCCTCACTTTTATCCATAATTTCTTGAATGTTTTTAGGTAGGGACGCTACACAAATCCCTGGTGAAAGCAGACAACTTGGACTTAAGTGACCAGTGTCGCGAAGTCAGTGGCTTAACACCAGAGGGACTGAGCAAAGCTGAACCATTGGACCGGGTTCTTCAACAGGTGAGATGCTGCTTTTGAGAGCCGGGGCCCTTCAGGGTGAAGCCTGTGAATGAGATTTAATGGATTTGAAAAAGGAAACAGACTTTAATAGTTTTGCATTTCACCTTGAAATCACTGGCAAGCTCTCATGCTTGTTTCTAGACTAACCCAAAAGAGATCTGAACCATTTGAAATGGGAACTCCATAATTCTGAAACAGTTATGTACGATACCAGATGCTTTAAGTCCTTGGAAGATCTGTCTTCTGGTTGTTTTGATGGGTCTACTTTTATTCCAAGTTTCTCTTAAGCTTTCAAAGAGGCCAGTAAGAGTACTGCTTAATAAAGCAGTGCTAATCAAACTTTCAAACCTCACGTGGTACATTCTACAAGTTCACTCCTGTAATGTGTATTGAAAACCACATTCTTAAAATCAACTGAAATCTTCAAAATCTGTCATGTAACATCAGATATACTTGTTATGTATCACTCTTTTCCAAATGAGACTAATAAGTGGATTATAAACTGATTTTGTTTGATTTGTTTTCTGATGTCTGTAGTTTTGCTCTTTGGCTCATTTAATATCACACTAAGACAGTAAATCTAAAATTTGTATGATACAGCTCAAGAGGACTTGAGCTACTTCAAAAAAAAATAGTGTACACATAATGCAGTTCCCAAAAGTTTGCTTGCTTTGACTGTCCTTTCTATGGACAAAATGCGCTTGAATGGAAAAATACAATAGTGCATTTTTGTGTAACATATAAACCTGCCTTTCCACACCT